ATTTGTATTTCCCTGATTAGTGATGTTGAGCATCTTTTTATGTTTCTGTCGGCCATCTGAATGTGTTCTTTGGAGAAATGTCTGTTTGTGTCTTCTGCCCATTTTTTAATCAGCTCCTTCGTTTTTTGGGTGTTAAGTTGTACAAGTCCTTATATAATTTTGGATACTAACCCTTTATTGGATACATCATCTGCAAATATCTTCTCCCATTCAGGAGGTTACCTTTTAGTTTTGTGTTTCATTCATTGTTCAGAAGGTTTTTGTTTTTTTTTTTAAAGATTTTATTTATTTATTTGAGAGAGAATGAGAGACAGAGAGCATGAGAGGGAGGAGGGTCAGAGGGAGAAGCAGACTCCCTGCCGAGCAGGGAGCCCGATGCGGGACTCGATCCTGGGACTCAAGGATCATGACCTGAGCCGAAGGCGGTCGCTTAACCAACTGAGCCACCCAGGCGCCCTGTTCAGAAGGTTTTTATTTTGATATAGTCCCAATAGTTTATTTTTGCTTATTTCCTTTGCCTCAGGAAACATGTAGAAAAATGTTACTATAGCTGATGTCAAAGAGATCACTGCCTGTGCTCACTGATTTGGAGCTTTAGTTGCAAAATCCTTCATGGCAGTACCTGGCTTAGTGGTTGATTGAATAAACCAGGGGCTGAGAATCTTGGGCATATCTAAGATATCTGCCTACCATACCCTGAATCTGCACCTACACTTGACATTAAATAACTTTATAATCTTTGTCAATCTGGTATATGTAATGAATTCTTCTTAAAATGCCTTATTTTCACTTGCATTTCTTTAGTTTGTAGTGAATTTGAGTGTTTCCTCATACATCTTAGGCATTCGAATTTTCCTTTTTTTGTAAATCTCTTTTCATATCCCTTGTCCAGTTGGGGAGCAGTTTATTTTCTTTCTTGTTTTCTTGTCACGCGGTCCTTATATGTCCTGTCCATTAATCACTTGTCAATTTAGATGCTGAAAATATCTTAATTCTTTTTTTTATGACTTTATTTTTTTATTATGTTAATCACCATACATTACATCATTAGTTTTTGATGTAGTGTTCCA